AATAAAGTAATATTTAATCCATAATTTTTATCTTTCACGCCATTAACATATGTAGAAAATTTGTTGAAAATATTCACTTTTAGTGGATGATGCGTTTTTTTTTGTCACATAGTATATTTTGTATTTCTTGATTGATAAATAGTGTTATTACAATATTAGTATAGTTGATCTAAAACTAAATCCGTAGTACGTCACAATCAGTCTTACGAATAAAGTGTAACAAATGCTTTTACTTTACTTCTATCACTTTTTGCTGCACTAAAGCTGAATACGTTTATCTCAAAAATCTTGAGCAAAAGCATTTACATCTGTTTTATTCATATGAGCCAATATGTGTCCACCAGCTAATTCAATATAAGATACTCAATAAGATATAAGCGCAGTTGGTGCCATACAGTCGTATGAATAAAGTGTAGCAAATGCTTTTACTCTACCTCCATCTTTTTTTACTGCATTAAAGCACAATATGATTATCTCAAAAAACTTAACCAAAAGCATACGCTCGGGTTTTATGCATATAACGTGCAACGGATTTAGTTTTGGATCAACTATATATCATGTACCACTTTTATACCTATCATATAAAATCAGATTATTCGGTATTTGTTTTTCAATAAAAATAGAGTTATTACAATATTAGTATATTACAAGCGACTTTTGCTTTAAAAATACCCATCTTGATCAGCAAAATGTGAACAAATTGTTAGACATTTATAGTCGGATTTTTCTATGAAAGTATTGACATCATTTTCTTTTATCTCTCTTTCATGTCTTATTTTGAACCGTGAACCACGACAATAAATTTATAGATAAACTTGTATTTCCTTATTATTGACAATTGTTGATGAGAAAGAAAAACGTTTTCAGAGTCAAATATGCGCTCATCGAAAAATCCGACTACCTATATTATATAGCAATTCCTCTTCTGGGAAGGTGTAAAATATGCATGCGTGCTCCGTATCACACTGAGATTTGTCTTATGCGACGCACCATAATCATAAACAAAGCCCCTAGTGATACAGAGCATCTTCTGAAACGCGCGCTCTGTACTACACAGGGGTTTGGCTTTACACATCCGGGACACCCTTTGCAATTTTTTGGACGTTTTGTTCAAAGGTTGCCCCAAATGTTTGCCAATCTTACTTCTAGTTTCATGCTCATGATTGAGAAATTGTTTCAGTCTTGGAATTTTCTGAATATGAACATGATGTGAGGCAATATATTACACGTGCACTCAGAATGTCCACCGAATATAGTAAATTGGTAAAAATGAGTTTGTTTTTCCGATATATAATTTTTAGACAACATATTTCCCCTAACACAGATTATAGAGAAAAAACTAGCAACTACCAATGAAAAAACGCACCTTCTATTTGTAGATTTGACTAAAGCCTATGACACAGTACCAATTAAAAAGTTGTGGGAAGTAATGGCAAGAACCTCTTTAAATTGTACTGTCATAGAAGCCATTAAACAACTATATTTGGGGGCGAGATTTCAGATTAAGGTTGGCCAAACATTATCGGAAGAATTTCCAGTGACCAAGGGCCAACGGCAAGGATGCTGCCTTTCGCCGACTCTGTTTAAAATGGGTATCCCACTTTCAGATGATTACACACTATACACGCTGCACTTCGCTGACCATCAAGTTGTGATAGCTCATGATAAAGAAGATCTGGAATATATGACTAGAAAGTTAATCGAACAATACCAAAAATGAGGATTACATATTAACATGAGCAAAACAAAATATATGTGTGTGGGAGGAAACCCAGAAGATCTCACACTAGACAACAATTCAGCTATAGAAGGTTGCGAGGAATATAAATATCTTGGAGTGAAGATTGATAGCATGGGAAGAAGTGAAAAGGAAATAGCAGAGAGAATAACAAAAGGCAAGAAAGCAATTGGGGCAATAAACTCTGTACTGTGGTCGAAAAATATCACGCCCAACATTAAATCCCTAATATATAATGCTATTGTGGAGAGCATAATGTTATACGGATGCGAAGTGTGGCAACTTAACCAACAACAACAGAACAGACTGCTATCCACCGAAATGGATTTTTGGCGAAGGTCAGCAAGAATATCTCGACTGGAACATGTGAGAAATGATAGAGTCCGCCAGATAATGAAAGTTAAGAAAAATGTCACGCAAAACGTTGAAGATAGACAGTTGAAATGGTACGGTCACGTCCAAAGAATATTACCAGAAAGAATTCCCAAGTTGGTAATGGAATGGACTCTCCAAGAAAGACGAAAACGAGGACGACTTAAATGACCGAGAGAGATGGAGAATGGAAACCGGAAGGCGTAGAAGAACGCTATAAGCCGGAAATATATATATATATATATATATATATATATATTCGAAGAGCGAATCTTGATCTTAACGCCATCTAGGACACGATAATCAACATTATATATATATATATATATAATTTTTAGAATGTAATTTTGCACTATGTTCAATGGATTCCGAGAGTGTTGGTAAAGCCTACCCCCACGCAACCGCGACATATCTTATCAGAGACTCAACCAGCGCCCTGTATACACTTATCAGAAGTCTCTTGCTTAGAATGTCTCTCAGTATTTAGAACTTGTATACTAGTTTCCGGATGTTACTTGTCAGTCTAAGTATATTCTGATCCCGCTCAAGGTTCCTATCCACTATGATTCCCGAGTACTTTATATAGTCAACCTCGTCCCACGAGTATATCACTGTCAAAATTATCGACTTAATGCTGTAATACTCTGGTCTATTCGCATTAGTGATGGAAAAGGCAATAGATTTTGTTTTGGAAACATTCAGAGTTAATTGGAATGAATCGAGCCAGTTCTTTATTTTTTTTATACCTTCAATGGGCTCTTTCACTAAAATTTAAATAAGTAACTTCAGTATAAAATCACAAAGGAGGGACTATTTTAGGCATATATACCAAAAAAAAATGTTCTACAAGGTTAAATAAGTTTTTTACAGGCACTTGAAACTCACGAAATTCAAAATGATTTAAAACGCGCCGATTCATGACGTCACATAAATATTTTTCATTTCGCTCATGTTGTTGCAAGGAGCTGACCTGCTCGGCTGTGTTGCACTCTGTGAAACACAGCAAGTACGTAAAGGTTCGAATGCGCTGTTGTCGGTTGTGACTAAATGTAGTGCAACGTAAAAAAATAAATAAAACTAAACATAAAAAATTGTATTAAATTGTGTTTAAGCATAATTTCAAAAAAAAAATGTATAAAATCTTGGATCCATAACTAATTAATTTAACTACTTTTCATGATGTTTTCCAACATTTCAGAATTAACTCTATTACAAATTTTCAATGATGACAATTAGAGGCAACACAGTCAAATTGCGAGCTGGGACGTCATAGAAATAAATTCTGGGTTTTTATTTGGAGGTATTTCTTTTTTTTCTGTTTTCTCAAGAAGGACTATGAATTTTTAAAAAGTAAAAATACAGAAAATTCTGTTTTTAGTTGCTTTATCCAAATATGCCAATTTCAAAAAATTAGTGAAAGAGCCCATTGTAGAATTCCTAACAGAGGACCAAGAAGTCCCTGAAAACACTACCACAGTATCATCAGCATAGGACATTACTGTTGCATTACTTATTTCCATATTTGTCAAGGAGTTTATGTATAGGATAAACAGAATAGGTCCCGAAACAGTACCTTGCGGAACTCCAATTTGGATATTTAAAGGGACACTGTGAGTGTCCAATTTTCACAACCTGTGTTCTGTTCGCTAAGTAACTCGCAAAGACATCCAACACACTACCCCTAACTCCATAACAATCGGGAACGCTGAGGAGTGAATGGTGGGGCACCGTGTCAAATGCCTTTGCAACGTTCAGGAAAACAGCGAGGTATTTGTGTTCCTTGTCAAGATTTTCATTTATTCAGTCGGACAGTACGTAGATGGCATCTGTGGTGCTCAAACCATGCAAAAAACCAAACTGATTTGGTGATGTGATTTTACCCTGTTCAAGAAAATAACCAAACGATCTTTAAGGCATTTCTCAAAGATTTTAGCAAATGTATTGATAAGACTGATAGGAAGAAAGTTTTATGTATTGGGATAACAACTGTGGTTTTGAAACTTTCTGGAACTTTATCAGTTTGAAAAATCAAATTTAATATATGTACAAGTGGAGTAGTTAAATACGGTATCCGCCAAAATAAACAGTACCGAAATCTAGAGCTCTGAGTAATTGCGCAAGCAAGTTGCATTTATCACATTTCGCTTACTTGGGATTAGTTATGAGGTTGACATTAAGTTAAGGTTAAAATATTCGTCATTATGTATCTTTTAACTTAAGAAACAGTTTTCTTAGTAGAGCACTATTTCCGGTCATACGGATTTGGAAGGAATAAAAGCTCAAGTTTGAAACAAGTCTCAGAAAAATTTCAGCAACCACTCTGAATAAATATTTTCAATGATTTGCAGAATCGTTATGAAGCTTTTTCGCGTCGCTATGATGCATTTTTTGAACATATACGCGTGATACAAATTAATAAATGATATAATTTATATGTTCAGTAGGTACTGTTTATTTTGGCGGATACTGTAGTTATGAAAAAACTTGACAATTTTAGAATCTACACCATCAGAATTAAACAATAGAATTAAACAATAGATTAGAAGCTCACACAATATACCAAACAATATACATTATAGACAGGTAGGTACATGATACATATATACACACATAGACAGAGATTTCGCATATAAGGGGTGAACTAAAAACATTGATCATAATATAAAAATGCTAAAATCCGCAGAAAAAAAAGCATCACAAACATTCTATTTCTTTTTCTAATTTAAAAGAAAAAATATAACTTTCTTTCAGATTTTTTCCAAAAAATTACAAGACTGTACTTTCTTCTAGAAAATCAGCACATCATAGTTTGAAAGCAAAAAAAAAGCTATTGAAAATGAATTTACTAAACTAGAACATTCAAAAATAATTTCAACCCTGTAAAAATTACCTTTGCAATAGTCCAGCAATGACTGCCTCCATCAGCTTTCACTTTCATTTTAATATCCTTCGCCTTCTCCCCTTGCTTTGTATCACTTGTTTTGTCTTCTTCCTCCTCCTTTTGCCTCAACGGTATTATATCACTAGTAACGTCTTCTTGAAATTCATAAATATCACTATCCTGGTTCCACCTTACAGCACTTTTAGTGCTAGGAGTGCTATAATAAAACAAAAACAAAAACAATAGATTTTATACTTAAGCTTCTTAGAATGCTCAAAAAAAAAAAATTGGAATACATAAGAATATTTCAAGGCATCTGAATACAGTACAACCTTGATAATCCGAACCTCCGCTAATACAAACAGCGAACGTTCGAAGGCATAATCCGAACAGATCTTGATAATCCGAACAATTGCTGAAAACTGCTTTACGCTACACGCGCTACGTAAAATTTAATAGGTACGTAATAATGTTCTTAAAGCCAGATCAGAAGAATCCGAAGAAGAATCTGAAGAAATCGTACCGACCAACGGATTCACAAAGAAGCAGTTAAATGTTTTCAAACTTGTTTGAAATGGGCCGAACAAAATTCTGAAACAGCTGAGAACATTTTTTTTCTAAGGCCCGGTTTATTCATCTTCCTGGTACTTAACTATCTGCAAGATAAATTTACCGTTTTATAATTCTATGGGCCGGCGGATAACTGGCCGACCAATGGTTGCGTTTTGCGTTTTTATCCGTCAGATTGCATACCTGACAACTTATCAGAAGGTGAATAAACTGGCCCTCAAAGAAATGAAAAAAAAGGCGGAAATGGGACAAGCAGACCAGTATGAAGCAAAAAAAAATTACATTACATTACATAATTTTTTTACTTGTTTGACGTAAGTTAATCTTAGAGTTCATTACGTACATTTATATTTTTCTTAAAAAATAAAGCTTATTTTTGATTATTTGCATATTTAAAGTCTGTTTTTTTTTTAAAGATAATTCCCCAAGTCAAAAATTTAGTAACTATGTTGGCAGCACAAGCCTTTTCTAGCATAAAAAATTTGAAAGCATTGACAATTTTACATTGTATTGCCAACATAATGTCAGTTTGACTTTTATCTTTTAAATTTACCACATATTTTGATAATCCGAACTGACCTTAGCAATAATTAGTTCGGATAATCAAGGTTGTACTATATTTAACTACTTTCTTTAGCTATTTTTCAAAGCACATTACTTTTCAGTAACAATGATTAAAGAAGTATTTATAGACTATCAATTTATAACTTCAGAAACAACAAAGCAAAAGCACTACTGAAGACATTCAAAGTTTTCACTCAATTGCTTATTTTATAAATAAATTGCTAATTGAATAAACTTTCAAATTGATGATAACTTTGCCAAATATGTCTAGCGTATTGAAAATTTTCCTATTTCTATTACGTATCTTTCACAGATAATGTCAGTAGTTGTATATTTTAGGACCAAGTAATTAATGATACCTGTATTCGTAATTTTAAAACTAAGTTATTATTACCTATCATGCTTCTTTTTTAAACCTTCTTCCGATCCACAAGTCGAATCCACCTCGGCCATTGAATGATTGTTATTAATCCCATTCCAAGTTTGGCACTCTGTTTTCGTTTCGGGCGTTAAACATTTGTGATTTCTAAGTGTGATGCCTCCTGTCGAATCTTCGGCAATGATGTCCAATTTCCCACTTTCGTGGCAGTCGTTGAAGAATTTGTTTTGTTGTGTGGCATCGCAGACTGGATCGTTATCACTGAAAGTGCTTGGACAACTGCTGGCGTTGCTTTGCAAATCGTCAAGTAAATTCGATCTGGACAGGTTTTGGGTTGCTGCTTGCATGACCTCCTGTTTTGAAATTAATAAATATATATCATCAATAGATTAGATTAGATGTTATTATTTTTTTTTTTGAACAGGCGTCAAAATCACCCCAAATTGGCTAAAAACGGTCTTCATACAATGTCATTTCACTTTCTTCACGAAAAATGTTAATGTTTCCAACTTATTTTACAGCAAACTATATATGTCGAAAATATCAAAAGTTGTCTAACTTTCAAATTGTGAAAAAATTCAAATGGTAACATTATTGTAATATAAGTATGCCGGAGATTTGCCGTTTGTATATAAATTCAATTATTACTAATTTACATATACTTGACATGAGCTGAGATAAGCAAGACCATGGTAGAAAAGATAAATTTCTGTACTGTATGAAAAATTATGATATATTTTCAATGCCTCAATCATACTTTATCAACAAATGTATTGAATTTTCAATGAGAGTTTCAATAGAGAATGCTGGCTTTGATAGCAAGGAGTTTGCATTTAGTTACTAAGCACTCACAAAAAGCCACAGCGGTGGTTCATTTAGCCAAGTCGCCCAAACTTGCCCAAACTCAATTGAAATTATTGGCAAATTCAATTCAATGAGGCCTCATAAGCAACTAGATGCATAGACCCTGTTCCGTACAGCTAAAGTTATACTTGAAGTTTCTATTTTCAAGGATCTTGGTCTACCTATATTTCATAACTTTCTTAATAAAAAAAGATGTGTTCTTGTACCAAAATTTCTGAAGCGAGAAATGAATGAAACCGATTCTAAAGAACGGAGGATTTTACTTCAATGTTTTTTTAATTCGATTCATCAAGTATTGATAAGTCATTACCTGATTCGCTTTTTGAGCTTGCCGCCTCTGCAACCTGGCAGTTCTTGAACTAACAGACTTTGAGGACGATTTGACACGAGCCTCCTCACCATTTATCACAGATTTTTTTTCAGTACTACTTCTCAGATTTTCACTATTTACAGAAGCGCCAGAGCCGCATCGACTGGTCCGTTTCAGACTTTTAAATTCGCCCATATCTGTAAATTTACAACCTACAAGATATGTTTCATTTTAATAATAGTACTCTGAAAAGTTGGACTCAAAATTTTTACCTTGCGCAATTAATAGTTCAGCATCGTACTTGGTCAGTCCTTTTTGCCTTAGTTCTTTCATGCTCAGTGGCGTGACGACCGGATTGTTTCCCATCAACCGCTCGTTAGCATCTTTATTTCTTGCAATATTTTGCACATTATTATTGACTTTGGGTTTAGTTCGGTTCAGTCTATTGTCAGTTTCTCTAAGTTTGTAACCATTTTCCTCTTTGTTGTCATTCTCTTTAGCAAAAGCCCCTGTTTTACGTCTTTCACAAGTTTCGCACTCACAATAGCAATTTTTGTCACCGAAAAAGTCTTCACCATAGAAACACGTAATCTCTTCACCAATTTCTATGTCTCTCAGGACTTTTACACACGCAGTATCTCGACCTGTGGCTACAAATTTGCAATTCGCCCTACAATCGTGATTGATATAAGCAGCGGGGCCTAACCATAATTGGGCGCAATTTTTTCTGCAGCTGTACATAACAGAAAAATCATTTTTGCCTGGATTTAAAAGTTCGTCTTCTTCTTGTTCGGTTAGTTCAGCTATACAACCAACTAAACATTCAATTTTTTCGTTTTTATGCCAGCGTCTAGTAGCTGAAATTTTTGCACCTTTTTGTCCTTCAAGCGAGTAACGGTAGCATGGTTCTATGACAAAACCGGAGTTTCTGTCGAAGACACGCAGATATCTGTAAATCTGAGGAAAAAAGAAATATGTTTAATATTGTAGGAATTTATTATCCTAAAAAATATTGCTTAATTCTTACATGTTCCTGTAGCTTCCTTTGTAGTGTCTTTGATCGAAGCCTAGGCATCCATTCACCATTTGATATTCTACTGTAAGCTTTATCGTAGTTCTGATTGACCACAAAATCCTCGACGATTTTTTTCAGTTCGGCGGTGTTGGCCCTCAACGGTCTGTACCGTACGTTCATTTTGTGAGAGTTGAATCCCAAAATGGGATCGAGCACCAACGACGTGGCCAAATCGTCATTGTCTGAAAGTTCTTTCGGTGTCATAGATGCTGGTTGCATTTTAAAGTTGTTTTGTTGTTGCAAGGGCCTGCTGCTGTGTACATCCACAACCATTCTGGATTACTGTTCCTAGAGAAGATATTTTAATTATTACACTTTGCTTTATGCCCAAAGAATTTGAAAAACACTTTGTGATTTATTTTCTTTGTGGGAACTTAGAACTGATTTGTTCAAACAAAAATCGGTAAGATAAGATGGAGGATCTTGGAATTATCTGAGACTCCCAGTTGAGCTTTAAGCTACATGTTTCTTATATAGATAATAAGGCTCTAAAAATGTATGGATTTGTAGTACGAAGCTGTAAGTTGTGTTGAAACACAGACAGTAGAAAAAAGTTCAGTTCAGTGGTATGGAATCCATACTATAAAAACTATAAATATGACATAGACAAGGTACAAAACAAATTTTTAATATATACAGGGTCTCTGGTATATCGATAGAAAGATTTCAATGAGTGATAGTTGGTGTCATTTGGAAGCTGTTTGACCATATTTACCCATATCACCATTTTTAGATATTTTGAATCCATGTATTTTAACCTCGATTTTAACACATATCTTGGGCTAAATATTTTTTGTATCAATTATTCGGTTTTTCTTTCCGTATTTTTCCGAAAGAGTGCATATTAGGAATATCGCAAAAAAATTGAGAAAGGTTAAAGTTAAAGCGTTTACTGCCAATAAAAAAACAATATGTTTTAGGAACAATTCAAATATTTCCCAAAAATATTTAAAAATGCTGATATCTTAAAAAGGAGGAAACTTTGCATGAGGGTAAATGTGGTCAAACAACTCCCAAATAACCCCAACTATCACTCATTGAAAACTTCCTATCGATGTACCAAACACCCTGTATAACATACAAAGAAAGTGCTAACTGATGAGTATAAGGATAAATATATTGAAAACTAACAACCTGAAATCTTTAGAGATGATCGGAGAAAAATTGCTTCCATTATGTTTTTGTGTAAACTGGTTAATCATTTTATTGCGATTCTGATCTGATCGCTCATCCAAACCTTCATGTAGGAACTGAACTACAGAACAAGAAATCTATTCACATTTTATATAGATACTCGAACAAATTATTACAGCAATTCTCCGATTATTTCAATATGTAAACTTTATAATCAACATAGAGATAACCTAAGATTAGAAATGTTAATGAAATTGAGATGTGAGAGATATTAGTTAAACCATGATAAATGTAAAAAAAGGTACCACAAGTATACTAGTTCCTAACACCTATTTTATAATTGGATTCAAATCTGTTGAGTTGGTAGATAAATAAATAAATAAGTAAGTCACATGCTTGAATTTGGAGTGATTCAAAAATCCAAATGTCTTTTTAATTTTTTGTTAAAAAATCAGCCAATCTACACAGGTGCCTCTGAGGCTTGATATTGTAATATATTGATTTGATCTAAAAATAGTCCTTAATATGGTATTTATATATTAAAGATAGGAGCCGAGTAGTAAGATTGGTAATAATAATTATGAATTGAAAATATACAGGGTGTCCTACGGTAGATGGCGTATTAGACGTTAATGGAAAACTAAAAAGCGGATTATTTTGAAAATTTGGCAACCGGGATGAACTACCATAATCTACACTTTAATAATTATTTATGTATCAAGGGAATTATGCAGGTGTTAATACCCCAGGGCAACGTTTGTGTCCCGAGGGCCTCCGGCCCGAGGGACACCAATTGCCCGTGGGTATTAACTCCTGATAATTCCCGTGGTACATAGATAATTTTATATCCTACTGAATTTACTGTATTCTGTCTATTTTTATAAAGGAATAAGCCATAAATCAAAATTCTATTTTTTGTCAAAGCGTTACCTATTCAAGGTAAAAGCGGGAGTTATGGAAATCCTTAACTCCCTTGGGAGTTATGATATCCTTAACTCCCTTCCTCAACTCCCTTGGGAGTTATGAAAATCCTTAACTCCCTTGGGAGTTAAGACCCTGTTTATGATTATCGTAACCAAGGTATTATATGGTTAATAGTTCAGTAGGATATAAAAATATTTTTGTTTATGCGGTGTTGCTGTTTCTACTCTAAGCCAGTAGCAACATCGCTATTTTAAATAGAACACCCTGTATGTGATTGCATATTTGCAATCTACATAAAATTCTGAGCAGATTTCATGTGATATACCCTATACCTAAGTTCAACTGTTTTGGGAATATTGACAGTTGCAAATTGACTTTTTGCAAATTTGCCAGGCTGCAAAACCTAAACGGTTAATTCTAGAGAAAAACCGATCATACATTCCTGTCTTAGTTCTCCATAAACTATCGTTTGACACCAACTTTTTCGAAAAAATTCAACCCTGTATATTTTATGGATTTTATTCCAACCTTTACGTGCTCACTGTATATGTCTCTTCTGGAGTTCCCAGAGGTGCATACCTTGATGTTTATTATTGGTTAGTTTGTTGTCGATCCCTTAATTGTAATTGGTTGAGGTTTTGTTTGGGATTGGATGGAAATAAAACAAAAGAAGTCTGTTGTTTCAGATTGTCAACGTTTCGCAATATATTATTGCATCTTCAGGACACTACAAACAAAAGGGTAAGAATAGACTCCTAATAACTCCAGTTATGCTTATAGTACTGGGTTCTCACATTTTGAGATTGACTTTCTATTTTATAACATGAAAAATAAAAATTTTAAAAAAATTATTTTCAACCACAAATACACAAGAATGATAACCCTTTAAGACCAATAGTATCGTTTTTGAGATCACGTCTATATAATCTCACTGCCTTTCTGGCGAATATTTTGACTGACTTATTTGTACAGGACGAAACTTATGTCAGAAATTCTTTTGATTTCGTGGAAAACAATAAGAATACCCTGTTAACAATGAACCACCAAGTTATATCTTTGGATGGTATTTCATTATTTACAAACATCCCTACGGGGATGGGAAACTGTTTATCGCCAATTTGTTCTGATTTGGTGATGCAAGATTTACAGGAATGCTGTATAAAAAGACTTCCATTTCAACTTCCGTTCTATAAACGTTATGTAGGTGATAGCAACTATATTTATTATATTTAATAGTTATCATCCCAGAATTAAATTCACCATCGAGAAAGAAAACCAACAAAGTATAGCTTTCCTAGACGTATTACTACTAAGGCATGGAGGGAACATGAGAGACTGATTGGTTTCACACACCTAGTTTTTCTGAAAGATTTTCAAATTATTCGTCTGAACGCCCTCTTCAACAAAAAATTAATATTAGTGACTACGTTTATTTCAGACGATTTAATTCGGCTTAATTGTGGATTGACTTAAATAAGGATTAAAATTTAGGCTAATCCCCAAGTGTTTATATCGATCCGAAAAATTGGAATAGATTTATTATTTAATCCGTATTTAAGCCAGTTATGTGCGCGTGCGCGACCAATGCGCGTAGCTTCAGAGAATAACAAACAGCAGCTGTCAAACTGTCAAAGTCTCAGCTGGTTATTGGCGGTAAGCTTGGTTTTTGAGGGTTCGGAAATGGAGAGTAAAATAATTGTTTTCCTGTTTATTTTTATTTTCGAATATGATTCTTTGGAAAAATTTAATACAGGAAATAAATGCCAAATTTATAAACAAAACAAACATATACCTAACCTCAAAATAATGTTGACAGTTGAAAATAATGAAGTTGGCAACAAACAACGCTACTAATCCGGATTAAGGCGTTTATATCGGAATAGTGGATTAAAAAATTTAGTCCAATCCTACATCTTTGCAGGATTGACTTAAAATTTTAAGCTGGCTTAACATTTGCTTAGGCGGTGTTTACCTATATCACAATTTTTAATCCGATATTCCAGTCAATCCACAATTAAGCCGGATTAATGGTGTGAAATAAACGTAGTCTATCAGCTCTAACATAATTAGGAAATACTTACTGAACTAGGATTATCACTGTCAAACATAGTAATGGTAAATGTTATTTTTAAAACATGTGTTTTTCTAAAAAGCTTTAAAAACAACAATAATTACACCAATTTATAAACAGGGAGGTAGAAAATCAACAAACAGTTATAGGCCAATTACACTAACCAGCAAAATGTTAGCGTACCTGAAAAAAAAAAAATCTAGGTACACAAATTATCATTTTGCTTTTCGAGAGGACTGAAGAACGAAGGTCAAACTTTGTAGATTTACCGAGTTAATTGATCAGGGCAAACAGGTTATTGGGATCTTTCTGGACTTGAGACAGGCATTCAACATTTAACACAGTGGCGCATCGCATTCAAAAATTATTCATTAAATCCTATCCAAGTAGAAGCACTATATGTATACAGGGTGTCCCGGATAAGGATGCACTCTATAGGGATATCGGTAACCATAAGAGATACAGGGTTGGTTAAATTTGGAAAAAGTTTCGCATTACTGAGCTCAGTAGCGTCATGTTTTGATATTTTGGAAATTCCAAATGATTCCTATTTGAAATGAGATCACAAAATAAACTTCACATTCTCATTGCCACTTTTTTCTCCACTACATGATAATGTTATTAAATTTTTGATCAGACGTTTCGATTCTACGCGATCATCATCAACTTTGGATTCTTAAATGATCGAAATTTATTATTTTATTCCTAATAAATTCGTACCTCCTGAATCCAACGACATCCCACACTTATTATTTCTTAGAAGATAAAAAACTCATAATCAATGCAAAAGGGCATCTTATTCGAAATAGGTAGGTACCTGTTGATTTTATTGTTTTCTTCAACCTGTAGTCAGTCAGGAACCAAGATATAGGGAGGAAGGGGAACCGTCCAATGATGTCGGCCGAGTTGATTAAAAATTGTAATATGAAGTTGGTAAAAATTCCTCTCCCTATAATAATTTAGCGCCCTTTTTTTTAGAAAGACTTTGGGCTATTTCACCTACGTTACCCCCCCCCCAAATAATATATGTCTTCAGGACGTCCCTGGCTCTAGTAACAAAGTAATAATTGATTCTATTTATTAGAAATGTTTTTCTAATTATTTTTAATTTTCAAAAATTCTACCTTCATTTTCCAGACATAAATAACACCAACGAACA